AATCACCCATGATTTAGGATTAAGTAAACTAGATCAGTCCAAAATATAAAATGTGAAAGAAACCCGAAATAAGTTTAGAAACTTCACATAAATTATATAAAAAGCTTTCTCAGCATCTCAGTTTGCTGTGCTGGGTCTGTTTTCACTTTCAGCAAGAATATCAGTTAAAATACTGGTATAGCAGAAGCTTGACCTGTATAAATACAATCTCATTTGGGTGTATAATATTTGAAAAAACAAGCTGTAATATATTGGTCAGAATATCTTAACATTTGTATCTATGATCAAAATAGATCTGTAATTAGAATACAAAGTAGGATTGCCAGATTAGATATAACTATGATATTTGACCAGGTAAATGTTGAAAATCATTCACTGTCTCTGCAGAAAAATAGAAGATAACAAGCCAATATCCTTTTTTTAAAAAAAATCAATCCACTGGAAACCAACAGAGCCAGGAATTCCCATCGATTTCATAATTTAATTGTAGCAACAGTTTCTTAGACACAAGAGATGAAGATCAGTAGCTTTCTCTTTTGATAAATGTACTAATCTCATTTTTGTTGGAAATAAACTATTTTGTAATGATAAAGAATTGGAACAAGACTATTAAATTAATTAATTTAATAAATTAAATATCTTATTACCTTCATATTTGGTAGAGACTAGGGAACGGTAGTCAGAAGATTTGGATGCATAATGGGTTCATCATTTTTTAAACTTTCTGTGGAAGAATGTAACCTTAACCAATTCCTGCTGGGTTTTTTTTATGGAAACATAAGGGGAAATACAATCTGGAATTAATGTTTTGTCAATGTCCTATAAAAAAGACAATGCATAATATAATGAAGTCTTATTTAATAGTTTGAAAAACCCCTATCCGTTACCTAGTCTATCTAGTTAATACCCTGTCTTTCAACAAAGATACATTGAAGGACTACTTTAACGATCAATTTCCCAGTTTATTAAATAAAGCAGTATGACATGTTAAATGTGTAATGATAGGCCTGTTGAAAAAAATTGATTAGATAAGTTTGCATTGGATGTAACTTACTGTAGCTGCACACCAGGGAACTCTATGTCACTTGGGAGGTGTTTTAGCTTTGAACATCTTAATAATTTCTAGTAGATAATATTCTCTTTGTGAATAGAAGAAACCCAGCATGCAGGTGGTCCTCAACTTGCAACCATTCATTTATTAAGTCATAATGGCACAGAAAATAGTGATTTATGACCAGTCCTCACACTTACAACCTTTGCAAGATCCCCGTGGTCACATGTTCAGAATTCAGGCACTTGGCATGCATTTACAATGGTTGCAGCATTCCAGGGTTATTTGATTACCATTTGCAACCTTCCCAGGAGCTTCTGACAAGCAAAGTCATTGGGGAAAGCCAGATTCACTTAACAACTGTGTGAGTCACTTAACAATTGAAGTGGTTCACTTAATCACCATAAGGAAAATGGTCATAAAATTGGGCATGACTCACTTAAATGTCTTGCTTAGCAACGGAAATTCTAGTTCCGATTGTCGTTGTAAATCAAGGACTACCTATAGTCCTTGTGCTTTTTTATCTGTTTTAGTGGCTGACTTAGTTTCTCCCTCTGTGATCTGGAAGACCTCTCTCTCTCTCTCTCTCTCTCTCTCTCTCTCTCTCTCTCTCTCTCTCTCTCTCTCTCTCCCTCCCTCCCTCCCTCCCTCCCTCTTTCTTTCTTTCTTTCTTTCTTTCTTTCTTTCTTTCTTTCTTTCTTTCTTTCTTTCTTTCTTTCTTTCTTTCTTTCTTTCTTTCTTTCTTTCTTTCTTTCTTTCTTTCTTTCTGGTTCTATTGATGTTCCAGAGATGCTTACCACTTTGGCTCATCTTTGAAAAGATCCATAAACTTGGTCTCTTCAGAGCTAATAATTAGCTTTCTCTCATCACAATAGGTTCTCCTGAGTCCAATCTACTTTTTTTAAAAAAAAAGTAAGCTGCATCATTTATCTACTACTCCAGGGGCAGAAGTGTGAAAGTCCCTTCTGGTTGGAGTTAGAATAAGACAAGTCAAGACCATTTCGAATCCAAAAAGTAGTCCTGTTTTGCCCCTTTGTTTATTGGTATTCTGATAGAGAGATAGGTGGTATTTGCTGAGTCTAATTTGAAAAAAAGTTTTCGCGTGGCATCTTTTTAAAAAAAATAATCAATTTGCATTTATTTACAATGTAAAAATATCAGATCCAAACAGATCGAAAGAACATAGGCAAAATGGCCAGGGAGTTAATAGAATTATAGTCCATCCTGGAAGAAATAAATCAGGTAGATAGGACAATTATAATAACAGACTCAAGCCACTGGAATAATTTTCACCAATCCCTATCCATAGATAGAGGTGAATGCTGACTTCAGAACAGCCAACACCACATAGTATCATGGGGGTGAATAGAATCTTTTTCTGCTCAAAAGTACAAGCTATTGCCCTCTAAAGACTAGCTCAGTGAAAATAAGAGTTAGAAAGGTTATTTTGTTTTAAAGAATTTTAACAGGTTTATGAAAATCAGCTATTGACATATTCATCCATAACTACAATCTCTCAGCTGATATTGTATTCTGAGCCTCATCTGATCTGATACTTGTGATGTTCTCTAGTGGTGTCCAAAACATTTCAAGCCATTTGAATTAATTCCCTGTTTGAAGTTGTTTTGAGCATCAGATATTCTACCTTGCACTCAAAACACTTCCAAAATAATTAAAACATCCCCTCTTGTGCTCAGACAGCCATTTCACACTTGAAACAACCGTTTCAAACTTGAAATGCAATCTTTTGAATGCAAACTGGTTCAAAATCCAAAACGTTTCAATTATATCTCTCCTCATCTCCTTGACAATGTCCATCATAACCTTTTCAACATTTCTCAAAACTGTTATTTTAATGGATGAAGTTTAGTGGAATTTCTCAGGTGCTGTCCAGATAAATAATGAACCAGGGTTTTTTCCCCCCAATAATTAAATGTACCTGTTTCCTGTTCAGTGTTTTTTTCTGGGTGAATATTTCAGCATTGGATAGCTTTACTAAAAAGATAAAGAAGAGGGAACAGTTTGTTCATTAAAGCCAAATCTTCTGTTTTTAATCTTGATCTTGTTCCATTTCTTTGGATTTTCCTTGCTGGTAGTCAGCTGACAATGTTCCTTTCTGTGTTTGCATTAGATAAGAAAAGCAAAATTGTCAGAACTTGCAAACAAAATCTTTGTTTGTATGATAGGAATCAGACAGCATCAACTTGGGTTTTATCTGAAGATTCATTAAATAAAAGAGAATGAGGGATTTGACCCTTGAAAAAGAAAAGTGGCTTTTTATTTAGAGTGCAATCATTCATTGCATGTTGAGGACTCCAGATCTGAAAGTAGGATGAGTATTTTGTTGGGAAAGCTTTAAAAATGGCACTGTGTTCATTTCCTGACAATCTTCAATCTGTTTGCAATCTTAAACTGCAACATACCTGGTGGCCAGAGCGGTGATCATTTGCCTCATCTTCCAAATAAGGAAAGCCCCTGTAGTTTTTGTACAAGTTTGTGGCATTGTTACTGAATAAATTTAAATAATTAAGCTATTAAGAGACGTTGAGCATGGATGTCATTAGTCATGCATATTGGCATCTCCACCTGGCACATTTGAGCAAATGCCATGATTCTTGCTAAGATCTTCTCTACTCTCTCCTTTTGTCGACCCGACTTCTGGGCACTTTACAAACTCCTATATCTAGCAGGGTTTTCTTCCCTTCATTTCGGCACTCTGGGAGTGCCCTTTAATTTTCACCTATCACTGGATTCACAAATGGTAGCCATAGCAAAGAAGCACATTAGCAAAAATATGCCTAGCATAGCTGCTACAACAGCTCCTCTACCAGTTTCATGTGGTAACAGTTCACGGTGTCTTGCTAAATTAAGAATGTCCACAATCTTCTCTCTCTGACTGAACAGTTTTTTTTTTAAATAAACTGTCCAGAATAGGAATTGGTTTATGCAGTGGTGGGATTCAAATATGTGAACAACAGGTTCTCTGTGTGGATGCTGCTTCCAGAAGTCCATTCTGGGCCTGGGCAACAAAAAATTAGCTACCGGTTCTGCCAAAGTGGTACAAACCAGCTGAATCCCACCACAGGAAGGAAGGAAGGAAGGAAGGAAGGAAGGAAGGAAGGAAGGAAGGAAGGAAGGAAGGAAGGAAGGAGTGGTGGGATTCAAATAGGTGAACAACCAGTTCTCTGTGTGGATGCCGCTTCCAGAAGTCCATTCTGGACCTGGGCAACGAAAAACTAGCTACCGGTTCTGCCAAAGTGGTGCGAACCGGCTGAATCCCACCACTGGGTTTATGGTATCCTTGGCCCATCCCCCAAATAAAACAATTGGATCAAGAAAAAAAAAAGGAAAAATGACATGTAGAAATAATGTAGAATGTGGAATTCAAAAAAAGAAGCAAACATTTATCTTATGATTACTTGATGGGATGGCAGGAAGGACTGCCTGCTTCATTAATGCTGTTCAGTTCAGGAAGCAAAAATGGCTGTATCTCAGGTCTGGTTGGCTTGGGGGTTGACTAGATCTCCTGACCTCCTAGGAGCAGATCTACAACCTGTACTTCTTACCAGTTTCCCTACCTTTTCTTTGCTCAGCAGACCTAGAAAGGAACTTTGTCCATCAAGGTTAAGCCATAATGATGTGGTTTTCTGCATCACTCATTTCTTACTGAACAAGAAGGGGAACATCATCTGTTTTCACATGCATACAGGGCGATGTTAGCTCCATTTCAGCATATATGATAAATGCATAAATGTAAATCCTACTCGCCAAAACAGCCAAATCTTGAGATGAGACCAAGCCATGTGTTGAGATAACCATTCATTTCACCCAAAGGAAAACAAATGTATTTATTCTCTATCCATTTCATATCCCACCCTTTGTGTATTATCAGATAATTTGGTAATCTTGACTAATCAGATTTATCCTCTCCCACCCCATGTTCCTGTAGTTCTTCCAAGCCACACGTGTGGAAATCCAGGAAGGCTTCAGAATGGAATCCAGCAAGGCACAACATTCAGCGTTGGAGACAAAGTGCGTTACAGCTGCAACCCGGGTTTCTTTTTGGAGGGGCATGCATTGCTCACTTGCCATGAGACCATGGAAAATACCGCATCCTGGGATTTCCCTCTGCCCTTCTGTCGTGGTAGGTGTTCTTCGTTGTCTTTTACCTTGGATTTTCTTAATATATACTACAGGTGTTGGATAGGGCTGGGAATGGCTTAGCAAGCGTTATCTAGATTAGAGTCAAATCCTATCATAAGAATTTGAAGTTCTATAATCATCTAAATTCTGTGCAAAAGGAAAACTGAATTATGTATCTGCATATATTATCCAACAGAACAGACTTGCATATTTTATTAAACATAATTCATCCACGTTATGCTAATATGCACATACAGTGGGAGTCAGGTTGTGCTTTGAACCTCTGGAGATAGTATTCATCTATCCTATTCACTTTTGTGATTTCAGCAAGCATGTACTTTTAAATATATATTGGCAGCCATAAGAGCCAAGAATGGG